GGGAAGAGAAAAGACATTATGCTTCTGTTACCTTTTTGTGACTGGAAGAGTCCAGTACTCAGTCTCCTGTTTATGTGGTCCCCCAATCTTGGCCATTGCTCCCCCCCCCCAATTGATGGGAACCCCAGCAGGGTGTATTTCTTTTCAAGATTGGGTTGCAGAGAAAACAAATTCCCCATGGTAGAGATAATGACTTGGAAGATCTCAGATCTTGTTCCCAAACCTAGCAGTTGGAAAACATTGGACAGAGACTCATAAGGAGTCCCAGGGGAACTGGAGTCCAGAAATCTTCATAATGGAGTGAAGGGAAAAAATAATCCCAGGGAGTGGGAAGAAGGAAACAGAATGATATTTGCTGAACATACATGCTGGAAATTACTGATGCACACACACACAATTGCATACACTTCTGGGAGAGAGCCTGTAGGCCAGTGAACGAGGTAATGTGAAAGGCCCTGGGTACTTATGTTCAGCTTCTCTCCTGGGGGAGGGGAGGAAATGAGCTACCTGTTGGGGTGACACAGCCTTGGAACCAGCTATGAGGGGTGGGGCTATGCTTCTGTCCAACTGGTCAGTTTGCAAGTAAGTGGACTTGACTATCAGTCTCTGCATCAGCAATGCACCAGGGGCAGCTCTTAAGAATAAAATAATCTTTCAACCTCTTATGAGACCATCTGTCTTTCTCTTTCTGCATTTTTCCCTCTTGAAAACAGCTTTTTATGCTTACTCAGTGCATCTGTGTCCTGTAAATTCAGGCTTGCCCTTCACCTTGGCCCGACCCAGCCCTCTAATGTCTGATGCTCCCTCGGGGCATCTCCTGACACATCCTTCCTCCCTCATCCTCCTTTCTTCTGTCAGTTTCCTAATTTCATCTCTTTCAAAGGGCTGATGCAGTTTGCCTCTTTGTACCATCTCCAGCCCAAAGCGAGATCCATGTCACTAAGCCAAGCTCTGGGTTGGGCTGCCTTTGGGTCAGTGGCTTTCCATGGGAAGATGGGATCAGGTGATAGAAAACCTGGCCATGCCCCCACGTATCTCGGCTGAAGGTGGGGCTCTGATACAGCTGTCTGTAGAATATGCTTCCTTCTTGAGAATAATTGTTGGCAAAAATAAATCATGTTCTTTGTAAGGTGCAAAACTTCTGCAGAGGTTTCCTATGTAGGCAATCTTCTAAAGCTGTAGTTTGCATGTTTTAGTGCATAGCACTTTGAGGTTTTTTTTTTTTTTTGTAATGGTTGCGTGATAAATTTGAATGGAAACATACTGTCTTGTCTATTTATATATGATAACAGCCATTTATTTGTGAAAAGGCAGGTTAGAGGAATGCTCTGAGGGACGGGCTATTTTAATTTGGTGCAGTCAAAAGCTTGAATTGAAACACAAGTTTTTATGCTCCTAACTGGTGGTTGCAACAAAGAAAACCCTCATAGATGGTTGCAGATAACATGCATGACTGTATTTTGTGAACTGCGGAGCACCTTGCACACTGCTGTTCATGACGTAGGGCTGATAGTGAGATGGGGGCTCTGCCCACCTGTGACCTAGTAACAGCACCATAGGCAGGAGAACAGCCATAATGTCTCTGTAACTCCTTTGTGGTTTGTTTGAGGACTAGATACATGCATGGGGTAAGCACATGGTCATCTAAGACCTGCTCCTGGTACAATAGTGAACAAGACAGTATTTTTTTTCTTTGGCAGCTCATTTAAGACAGAGATCTTCAATCTGAGGTACGTGGACCCTTGGGAGACAAAACTTCTCAAGAGTTATGCAATCAGCTCGGAATATTAATTAAAGGAATCAATTCCAAATTCTGAGCTGCTGTGTATATTCTTTCATAGAATTGCTCTATCTAAAAATGGGTCTTAGGTCAAGATTCTTTCCTCCTTTTTCACCATTGTCCTACTTTTCAGAAGAAAAGCATACCACCTCCTCACCCCCACCCATCTCAGATATTACCACTCTGCTTTGTCCCAGAGTGTAAGAACTGTTTGTGGGGCCAGAGGAAGGGCTGCACACTTGCTGGTGTTGAGAACAGGAAGAACTCTACCTACTGGCTCCACACCACTGGGTTGGAGCGTTTCTAACTGTTCCTCTTCATCACAGTTGTAGGAAGACTTACCAGCTGGTAGATCATTCAGAATAATTCTTGATGACAAATGACCATATTGCTCCCGGTATGTTTCAGTTCACTCAGGCTGCTATAACAAGATACCTAGGACTACAGAAATTTATCACTTACAGTTCTGGAGGCTGGGAAGCCCAAGATCAAGGCCCTGGCAGATTTGGTGTCTGGTGAGGACTGCTTTCTGCTTCAAAGATGATATATTTTCTTGCATCCTTACATGGTGGAAGGGGCAATAAGTTCCTTCATGCCTCTTCTGTAAAGGCACTAATCCCTCTCCTGAGGGCTGAACTCTCATGACCTAACCACCTCCCAAAGGCCCCACCTCTTACTACCAACACACTGGGGATTAGGTTTCAACAAATGAATTTGGGAGACAGGACACAAACATTCAGACCATAGCAGTATACAACTCAAGAGAAGTTCAAAGAATTGAATGACATTGTCTAACAAGTTTTTTCCATTCACAACTTCTTATTTATGTTGAGTAAGTTTTATTAGAACCTACGGATTTGGAAATAAAAATGGAAATAGGATTGTTGCTAAACCTGTCTCATTCCAGGAGGAAGGATTATTGATCTAGGGATAAATAAACTAACTGAGAAAGAGAAAAGACTAATTCATTCACTGAGAACTACATTTGCAATAAAATTTTATTCTTAATATTTAATAATTATTTATTGATATTTAAATTTGTTTTTGATAAATTATATACTGCTAACAATTATAATGAAAAGCCAATCCAGGAGAAAATAAACTAAGACTTAGAGATTCATTATGATCATTGGAAATAAAAAATATTTAATTTGTATATGTATTTTTGTTGCAGAGAAGGTGATCAATATAAGATTTTCAAGTATAAAAATATATTACATTAGGGTATGTTGGAAGGGGGTGTTCAATGGAAATATGAATTCAAAAAGAAAGTAAGCAATGTGAAATTCCTAACTGTTAACAAGCTTGTGCACATGTATTTTAAACTGTTGATGTAGAAATTGGATTGCTGCAGCATTATGATCCATTGGATGTATTTAAAATAATTTTGTAACAGTTTTGTTTTAGAGGTCACCATTTACAATACTCCAAAGATCATATTCCTTGCAGCTATTTAAAGAAAAGATGAAAGTTTTTAGATGTTCACTTAAAAACAAAGAGGTAGGAGGTACATAGTTTCAAAATTCTTATAGGAATATAAGAGCAGGGCAGTCTGAAGGTTGCCAGGCTAGAGTGTCACAAGGGGAAAGGGATATACTAGAGTCAAGAAAGTTTGGTTCTGCCACTTATTAACTCTGTGACTTTGCACAGGTAACTTAAGCCAATCCACTCTGTTTTCCCATGCAATGGAAATAATACTTTCCTTACTAATCGTGATAAGAATTAAATGACTTGATGTGCTCTTCACTTCCCCCAAGGTGGTTATGAGTCCTCTCTCCATCTTTTTCCTTCTGTTTCTGCTTGATTTTGAAACCATATCATGGAATGTTGCTCTACCACTTACTTGGAAAACTTATCTCCCGTAAATACATATTTTTAAAAATAGCTTGTAACATCCAACACTCCTTGTTTCCTTCTTCCTACCCAGTTCTCATGGGGACAGGTCTTTAGAGAAGCCAATGTTTTAAAAATAAGACATTTCAGTTCTTTGAGCCAAAGAGATCTTTGATCAAAGTAAAGAGTTGTTTGAGTCAAGATTAAAACTATTTTTCTTTTTTTATTGAGATAAAATTTACAAAATAAAATTCACCATTTTAATTTCTTTTTAAGTTTACAATTCAGTGGTTTTTAGTATATTCATAATATTGTACAACCATAACCATTATCTAATTCCTGAACATTTCTACCATCCCCAAAAGAAGTCCTATAGGTATAATTCTTCCCTCCCCCAACCCTGACAATTATTAATTGGTTTTCTGTCTCTATGGATTTGCCTCTTCTGAATATTTCATATACATGAAATAATATAATATGTTCTTTCACTTAGCATAATGTTTTCAAGGTTCATCCATGTTGCAGAGCATGTCAGTACTTCATCCCTTTTTATGGCTGAATAATATTCCATTTTATGGCTGTAGCTCATTTTGCTTATCCATTTATCAGTTGATGGACATTTGGATTGTTTCCACTTTCTGGCTGTTATGAATAATGTTGCTATAAATATTCATGTACAAGTTTATGTGTAAACATGTGTTTTCAATTCTCTTGGGTATGTACCCAGGAGTAGAATCACTGGATCATATAGTAACTCTATGCTTAAGTTTTTGTGGAACTGCCAACATGTTTTTCATAGGGCTTGTACTATTTTACATAAAAATGTTTTTATATGTATTTGCTGTGTATGTGCAAAATGTATATTTCTATACTAGGAGTTTTCTTTCATAGTTTCAAAAAGCAAAAACCAAACCAAAACAAAAAGACTGAATTTTAACTTGGATTTTCACGGGGAAAAATTAAACAGAAGAAGATTCCACTCTGCAAAATGAAGCAATTATTTTATACAAGTTACATATGAAAAAAATCTTTCTATTCCTCAAAAGTGTATTATGACATATAAAAAAATTTGGGAATATTTTTTTTTTCTAAGATTAAAAATTAATATTTATTCAGTTTAACCATCATTAAGGAAAGATTATGTCAAAAAAGTATTGAAGTTCCCCTTTAGAAAATGTTTTTCATTACTATGAATAATGAAAGTGTTTCCAACATTATAATGCATACTGTATTTTAAGAGATATATTTATAATTAATACATACAGACTTCAACACAGGACACAGACCCTTGCTTGTCAACGAGAGTCTTCTGGAAGGGAAGAGAAGACTGGCAGGCTTTTTCAAAGTACCAAGACCTGCCGTGAAGTCATCGGTGCACGTGGCACCAATGAGGTGTTCTTTCAGATGGACCAAGCCCTTGGCCACAGATCCCTGGTGAGTGTCCTCAGTGTGATCTCCTGCTCTTATTCAACAGTTTCTCCTAAATGTTGGTTCTATAGGTAGAAATTATCTGAATGCTTCATGTGTTGAAAAGCCAAATGGTGCCAGAAAGCCATGGATTATGCCTGCCATTTTGTGACTCATTTTTAATATTAAGAACCAACCCTCTCGACTCACCCTGAAATGTACACTCATAGTCACCCAATGGGAAGATGCACAGCCAAAGGCCTCAGATCCTTGCTCTCATGCTCCCTAGGTTTGAATAAAAAAGTCTTGTACATTCAGAGCTTCAGGGTCCCCATAAATAGTAGAGTCAGGACAGAGCACTTCACGAATATGTTAGGCAGGTTAATAACCCCCAAAGATGTCCACGTCCTAATCTCTGGGACCTTGAATCTGTTATATTACATGGCAATGGGGAATTAAAGTTACAGATGGAATTAAGCTGACCTTGACATGAGGGAGATTACCCTGGATGATCTGGGTGGCCCCAGTAGAATCACAAGGGTCACTTGAGTGAAAGAGGGAGGTAGGAGCTCAGAGTCTGAGAAGTGAATGAGACAATAGAAGCAGATGCCAGAGGGAAACACCAAGGAAAGAATCAACTGGCCATTGCTGGCTTGGAAGACGGAAGGAGACCCTGAGCCAAGGAATGTGGGCAGCCTCCAGAATCTAGAGAAGGCGAGGAATCAGGTTCTCCCTGGAGCCTCCAGACGGAACACAGCCCTGACGACGCCTCAATTTTCACTACTGAGACCAATTTCAGACTTCTGATCTCTAGAACGTAAGATAATAAATTCATGTCATTTTTAAGCCACCGAGTTTGTGGTAATGTGTTACAGCAGCAATAGGAAACTAATAAGAGATTGTTACATGTGACTAAAAAAGATGTTGGGTGTATTAAATAGTGAAAACGATGAAAGGTTCTGAAGATGATGGGCAGTGAAGGAAGAGAGGGTGGTGGGAAGGAGACTGTTTATTTCATAAATGCAGCCAAGTCTTCCTTATTCAGAGTGAATGTGGAGGAAACTGCAAAGGAATCTTAATTGTGCATGGTTATTTAAAGACAAAAATGAGTAATTTTTTTTTTTTTTTTTTTTTTTTTTTAAAAACTAATAAGAGATTGTTACATGTGACTAAAAAAGATGTTGGGTGTATTAAATAGTGAAAACGATGAAAGGTTCTGAAGATGATGGGCAGTGAAGGAAGAGAGGGTGGTGGGAAGGAGACTGTTTATTTCATAAATGCAGCCAAGTCTTCCTTATTCAGAGTGAATGTGGAGGAAACTGCAAAGGAATCTTAATTGTGCATGGTTATTTAAAGACAAAAATGAGTAATTTTTTTTTTTTTTTTTGGGGGTTGAGTGGTACAGGAATCGCACCCTGGACCATGGTGTTATCGGCAGCATGCTCTAACCAACTGAGCTAACCAGCCAGCCAATCTTATTTTTTAATATTTACAGCAGTGGGAAGAATGAGCTGAGCATAGGGGGAAGGGACAGTAGCAGGGATTTGGACCCAGCTCAAGCTGGCCCCTCGGGGCTATTCTGCCTGCAGCTTCTGGAGCAGGTTATTCAACATGTCTGAGTCAGTTTGCCTTTCTGTAAGAAGTGGAAAAACCATGCTGTACCTACAATTTTAATGAGGTTATGTATGTGGGGGCCATAGCTGCTATAAAACGAAAAAATTCCTATTTACAAATGTCCAAAGTGTTAAGGACTCATTTAACACGCAGTAGTTATAAATACAAGTTCAACTTGACTTAAAATGGTTTGTTCCCAGTGTTTAACATCTCCTTTTTATTTTTCTCTTAATTTACTTAGTTACTACACCAAAATGCCAACCTGGATTTTACTGGAATTATCATGAATTCCAATTGAATGGCTGTGGAGCAGGGGGATTTTAGTGCAGGGGCCAGTAAGTGTGGGCTAGACCCGCCCCCCAGTCTCCCATCTCCTAGCCCGGCCCCCACCCAGATACAGGGCCCTGTAAATTTCTACAGTGTGTATCAGCATCTCAGCGCAAGAGGAAGGTCTAGAGGGTGGAGGAAGAAGGCTCTATGTAGAGCAAGGGACAAGGACAGTGGAAAACTCACAGCCCAGGACTGAGCCGCCATTTCCTACCATCCGTGGGCATGGTGTGACCTGAAGCTCCAACCACAACTGTTTTAAGGGTCAAACGAGACAATGGAGATGGAAGCTCGTTGACAAATGTAAGCCCAAGCAAACATATGCAAATGTTTAGTGGTCTTTTTGCATCACATCTCTCCTGTTAAGATTTGTTTGTAGCAGTGATTTACCCCAGTTGGATATCAACCTCATCTGTAAGGCCTTGGACTACCTAACTCTTCCTTAACTATTCCGTATTATTTCCCTTCCCCTCCAAACCATCCTCCCAGTCCAGTCAGGTTTCCTTCTGTACTCCCTGCTTCTATGTGGTTCTGCCTACGACACCTGGGACACAAGGTCTCAGCAGGGTCTCAGCTGAACAAATCTTCCCTTCCCCTGCTCCTCCAGTTTTCATCTGAGATCATGTCCTGTCACTCATCCATCCAGCCAGTTCTCACCTTCAGAGTGTCCCCAGGCCCCCAGCACAAGTAGGATCATACTAATGGGGTTCGGTGCATACTTCTTGACTGATTAGAAAGACAAAAGGTAATGATGGCTGCCAGAGAGAGTGTGACATTGATCTTGTGACTGATGGCAAATCAGCTGGTGGCAGCAATCAGAAATAAATAGAAGCTTTCTGGAATTAATCCCTCTGCTCTTTTTCTTTTTAGTTTGTTTCACATGAAAATGGACGGTTTAAATTAATCTGCATTTTCGTTTTTCTATAGGTCACTTATACTTATTCTCTTTTCTGTACAACACGTGTATGGGGTAAGTACGTTAATTAGCTCTGATCGCATGTTGAAAATTCACTTTATTGAATGCATGATTTTGGTTATACTTTTAAACAAGTCTTTTCTCATCTGTAAAATGGAGGTTGGGACTAGACAAACTCTAAGGTTTCTTTTATAGTGAAGTCTGCTTATTGAATTGCCTAGGTATTGGAGATTTTTTAATTTTATAACTAATTTTTTTTTTTTGGAGATGGGCAAGAGGCAGTTTGGCCATTTCAAGATTAAATCAAGAATTCTTCTTCTTTTTTTTTTTTTCCTTTTTGTCTTTTTTCGTGACCGGTAATGGGATGGCAACCCTCGGTGTTGCACCCGTACCGCAACCGGCAACAGGATCGCAACCCTTGGTGTCGCGCCCGCACCGTGCTCAACCAGTGAGCGGACTGGTCTCTATATGGAATCTGAACCCTCGGCGGGAGCACCGCCACACCACCGGGCCGGCCCTAAATCAAGAATTCTAAGATTAAATTTGAACATCTTAGCTCTGGAGAAAGATAGGCCTAGAACATTCCTTTATAAGCTCTTTTCTTCCTGCTTCCTCACTAAGGAGTCTAACTTACTAAACCCAGCCTCAGACGTTTCTGGGCAATCACTCTAGTGAACACATTTGTATCTGTCCACATGCTCTAGCTTAGACCATCCAGTCCAATTTTGGTGATTCAAGTTATCGCAGGTCTTTTCAAAGCAAATACAAATATAAAATTGCTTTTATTCTCCTTTTCCTACCAGTTGGGAGCAAAAAGCACCTAGTCAAGGAATGAGGAGCCGTTGGACCCCGGCTCTGCCCCTGACTAATCCCTTAGCCTTTCCAGGGCTCGGTTTTCTCCTGTGCTAAGTAGAGAAGATAAGACTTGCCCAACTCGGTTCCCATGCATTTGAGAGGATCGCCTGAGATAAGGAACAGAAACATACTGTTATATATACACGTGTCTATTTTTTTTATTTCTCTTACCTGATTTTTCTAAGTTTATTCATGTCTCATATTCTTTTTGTTGTGGTTGTTGTTCTATTATAAAAGTCTTCAGAGTCCCAAACGCTACTTCCTTGGTTTCTTATATTCTGTACTAGTGAATATAATTCCTGAACCAACAATCGTTCTATCCTGAACCCTCCTGGCAGCTGTAGTATGCAGAAATTCTAGAGATTTCACACAGGAGTAGCTATACAATAGTTGGGTTTTAAAGGCAAAGATACAGATTGATGCAATATCTACAGGAGGCAATTTGGCTTTATCCATCAGGATTTTAAATGCACATACCTACTGACACAGGCGTGTGGCTTTTTGGAATTTATCATATATATTTATTCTGATTTTTGCACAAAGATACATGCACAAGAGCATTAATTTCAGGGTGGTGTTCAATAGCAAAAAGGACCTACCCAAATGTCCACCGATAAGGACTGGTTAAACACGTTGTGGTACTTTGTTTGATGGAGAGCTGTATGTGTTCCTGCAGGATGATTTTGAAGACATATCACTACGTAGAAATAGCAAAGTACAGAGCAATACACCATTTGGGTAGAAATAAAACAAGTTCAAAATCACCAAAAGTGTGCATGTGGTGTTCGTTTGTGCACATGTATGCTCGTGTGCCTGTGTGCCCGTATGTGTGTGTCTGTGTATGATCACTGTGTGAAAATGCTTCTTAATGCCCAGATGCCAATTTGGAGAGAGTGAGCCTCTGCTGCAGGAGGGAACATGGACCCAGGGTTAGAAGAGAAAATTTCTTTTCCTGTTATACTTTTTTTGCATTATTTGAACTTTTTATTATGTGCCTATGCTATTTGTTTTTCAAAAAGAAAATAGAGGGCCGGCCGTCCTGAGGTGCTGATAACACCAAGGCCACGGGTTTGGATCCCATATAGGGATGGCCGGTTTGCTCACTGGCTGAGCGTGGTGCTGACAACACCAAGCCAAGGGTTGAGATCCCCTTACCGGTCATCTTTAAAAAAAAAAAAAAAAAGAAAATAGAGATACAAACGTAGGACAGATTATTAATCTTCTCGAAATTAATAACTTCTTTTGTTGACCTTTCTGTGCAACAAGTATTTGTTTAAAAAATACCTGAGATAAAGCAGATAGTGGCTTTTCCTTTTTGCCCTCTGAGGAAGAATAACATTGGATTTTGAGAGTGTGTGTTCCCAGTGACTGTGGTTCATACTTGGAATGTTTAGTTGTCTGAGACACTGTCTTTATCTTTCTCAAGGGTTTATACAATCTACTTTTGAGGTGCAGACTCTTCCTTAATGAATTCACCCCCTTTTAATGTTCAATGAGGTATGTCTGATGTAGAAGAACTTTGCAGAGACTAAAATCACCCCTCGCCTTTTTCTTTATTAGTCTAAGTCAAAGCTTTGTATGTGACTATTTCTGTTTCTTCATTAGAATCTTCTAATCTATTTTAAACTGATTCTTCCCTGAAATGTAATTTTGTTACAAACATCCAGTGATGCTTGGCAAAAATAAATAAAAAACAAAAATAACAAACTTGCTTTTATTATCAAGCCATCTAATCAACTGACCTTTTTTTCTCTGGTTGTTTTGATATTTTTTGAACACATAGTAATGAATCCCAACCTTAAATGAACCCAAGTGTTCAGACTAGTTACTTTAAGTGCTCTCATGATGTCCTGACCTGGCCTCGGGCCTCTAATTTTTTTTTTTTTTAACCTTATCAGAGTTTTGAACTTAATGGTTTTTTTTTTTTTTTTTACATTCATAGATAACAATATTACTCAAAACTTAAGAGGCGTATATTCCTGAAACTTCAACGACATTTTAAAACTTGAATTATCTAATTGCTTGGCTCTTGTTAAGCTTCAAATTCTTATATTCCTTTAGTGACCCATGAGAATTTTGTTTATAAAGATGTCTTTTTTTATTCATGTTTAAGGATATTTCCTTTTGGATTGTGTCTGAGTACATTTTTCCTCCAAAAAAGAACTCTAAATTGTGTGACTAATAAGAAAAAAAATATGCTGGATAGAATCCTTTCCCTCCCATACACACATATATACACATATGTGTACATATTTATTTGTGTTCACACATACTTATATATATAAGTATGCATGTATATATGTATACATCTTCCATCAGAACTATAAATATTGGTTTGATTGTTTTATGTTTTCCTATTATGCGTTGGTCTAAAGGCTTCAGTTTATAGCCTTAAGCTTAAAAATATCTATCAGTTATAGAAATGTGTGCTTAATACACAAATGTTGCAGTGAGGACTGGCTAGGCAAGATCATGAAATAGGCAAAGTTCGTCTCTGATGCCTTCTTGATATTGCTGTCCATGCCCTCAGCTCCTGGCACCTAGAGCTGCTTTTACCACCACTTGGGGCCCAAACCACCAACTTGCTCCCATCCTGCAGCCCCCAGCTTGTGAACAAATGCTCAGTCTCATTTTCATTGTGGGTGCATCATGGTGGCTCTGTTTATCCTTAAGGGATCTACTTATGGAAATAGTCACTCTGGAACTATACTTTTGTGTTGAGGTAGCTGTTGAATCTGGATATACATAAGGAGGATTTGTGAGAATAAGGTGCTGATTCTTCACCAAAGGACATGTGTGTGCGTAGTGACTCTCTAAAGAGAGTGTTGAAGAAAAGTTAGCTAAAGTGGGGAAAGGGCCCCAGTTGTTCAAGTTCAGGAGCCTTCTGGTTGAGGGATGCATTAGAGGAAGCATCCTGGAGTATGAACAAATTGTAAGAAGAATAGTTTTCATCTGAAGCCCAAGGCTGTGACTGACTGGAGAATGGTCCTGGGAAAAACTCCATTGGGGAGACGTGCCCTTGCTGACCTTGGAAGTAAAGCAAGGGGTTGGGGGGGTGGTGAAGACTAAAAAAGCCAAGCTTGGCATTTAAACTAGGCTCTATTGTGGACTTATGGTTTGCCTAACTGTAGAGTTTATTCTCTAAGACTGTTCATAACTTAGTAGATCAAAAAAGAATTGCAGAAGGTTCTGGTTAAAGAAAAGTGCCTTCAGAAGGAGGCTGTTTCTCTTTTTTTCTTCAGTGTCCTCGGCTTCAGAAGCTTCTTGCTTATAATAACAAGCTTCTTGCTTATTATTAAGCAATGGTGTTAGTTTTTTGCCTTTTTATACATCAATATTAGTCTTTTCTTCTAATGGATCCAAAGGTCAAAGTGTACTGTGGAACTCTCATGAGTTAGATAAACCAAGAGTGCTTGTTATAATGTATATATTATGTACCGAACTAAGTGATGAGTACCTGTGTACTAAATAAGACACTTCACTTTCCAGGGTGGAAAGAAATATATTGGCCCTTGCGGAGGAAGAGATTGCTCTGTGTGCCAGTGCTTTCCTGAAAAGGGGTCTCGGGTAAGTGACATAAAAATCAACATGGATAGCATACCTGAATTTTGAATGATTGTGAATATTTAACATTAAGTAGTTCCAGAGCCTTAGCATATTTTGGTAGTCGGTAATGTTTATGTCTTTTACAATCAAAGTTTTTCACATTGCTCAATTTTCTGGTAAGCAATCCCAATTATATTAGACTGTGTGTCAGGCTTAGAAGATAGTGTACGAAGCAGTGATTTGCCCAGTGTTTTATATGATTCTAGTCTTGTGCATTGCCCTATGAAGAAAGGGTCCTGGTATCAAATGGTGTATGCTGGGTTACTATCCTGATATTTGTGTTGCATATCAGCATTTTAAAGGCTCTGAGAAATACTGCAGTAAGTGGGGGGGAAAACCTCATTTAACTTTGTTAAAAGCAGTCTTTCTAGACATTTCACCACAGGACTACTTTTTTTTTTTACTGACCGGTAACGGGATCGCAACCCTCGGTGTCACGCCCGTACCGGGGACTGGCAATGGATCGCAACCCTCGGTGTTGCGCCCGCACTGCGCTCAGCCAGTGAGCGGGAACCGGTCTCCACATGGGATCTGAACTCTCCACGGGAGCACCGCTGCGCTCCCAAGTGGCGCACTCTCCAGTGTGCCACCGGGCCGGCCCAACCACAGGACTACTTTTGGATAGCACCAATTGAAACCTGTGGCATAGTGTTCTAATTGAAACAATTGCTACATTTATTGAATGCTTTTGATGAGCAAGGCACTGTTTTATGTGCTCAAAATGTTTCAGCTCATTGACTTCTCACAACCACCTTTTTATCTTACCATCTTTGTAGTGCAGGAGACCGAAGCACAGAGCAGGTTAGTGTCTTGCTCAAGTCCACCCAGAACTAGTAGTCTCTTGATGAATCACTAGATTCTCTATTCTGCAAAGCACAAGAACCCTCTTGGTTACTCGTCTCTTGAACATCCGTTAACATTTCCCCTATATTCTGACACCAGATTATGGCAGCTTATGCATTCATTTGTGCTGACATATTAGATCAAGCAATTCTTTGATTCAGAATACTCTCACAATTTTACAAGAAAGGACTGTGTTTCAGAAGACTGGACAATTTTTGAGTCAGATCAATGATTCTTTTGAAACATGTCTGAATCCATTCTGGCTACTATAACAATACCATGGACTGAATGGCTTAAACAACAGAAATTATTTCTCACAGTTCCGGAGGCTGGAAAGTCCAAGATCAAGGTGCTTGCATATCTGGTGTCTGGTGAGGGCCCCCTTCCTGGTTTGTGGATGGCTGTCTTCTCATATACGCACATGATGGAGAGAGAGATCTCTCTAGGGTCCCTTTTATAAGGGCACTAATCCCGCTCATGAGGGCTCCATTCTGATGACCTAATTATTTCCCAAAGACCCCACCTCCTAATACCATCAAATTGGGGGTTAGGATTTCAATATATGAATTTGGGGGGGGGGACACAAACATTCAGTTCATAACAGTGTCCAAATCAATACTACAGGGATATCAATGACATTCAAAAGGAACGATTCAGTAAAGATCAGTCTACAAAGACATGAAACATTATCTTCCTGAGGAGAGAGACTATGTGTTTCTCCCATGACATTGCTTTGCTTTCACACAGTTCATGTGCAGTTCATATGGGGTACCTTGCTGAGCTATTTTACTGTAGGCAGCTACTGTAAAGCATAAGTTATGGCAAATCCCCTGACACTTAAACTACTTAGCTTCAATACATCAAAAGTTTTGGTCACCAGAATTTATCTTGAGTTTTTTCAAGCCACTTTCAGGATATAATTTTAAAACTGAAGCTGCAAGAAAACAAAGTTAGGACACTAAAAACTAGCAACCTAAGAAGTGCTTTAGCTTTTCCATGTAATTGCGCAAATTAATTAGAAATAACAAAAAACCCCTGGCTTTTGTCTGATGTTATTACTATAAACATATTAAGATTGCACAAATGAAAAAAGAAAACAACAACAACAACAAAAGAAAAAAACTTAGTGCATCTAAATTTTTTTAAGACATTTGAGCTGGATACCTAAGAAAATGGATTTGATCAGCTCTTTGGCAGGAAGGGGGTGAGGAGACCAAACACAGAGGGACAGTTCCTTTGCTAAAGCCAGTTTGGTGGGTCCTCCAATTCATACGGGTCCAAGAATTGTTTTTGCAGCTGTTCTGTGTGCCTTTACAAGCTTCAGTCCCTCTAGTTCAGCGGTTCTCAGCTGGGGGTGATTTTGCCTTCTCCCCTGCCACCCCCTACCAGGTGACATTTGGCAATGTCCAGAAACATATTTTGGTTGTCACAGCCGGGTGGAGAGGGTGCTACTGGTGTCTAATGGGTAGAGGCCAAGGACGTTGCTCAACATCTTACAATGTTCAGGACAGACCCACACCAGAGAATGATCCATCCCCAGATGCGAACAGTGCGGAGGTTGAGAAGCCCTGCTCTGACCCCACGACAGCTCTGTGAGACAGGGCTTATTATTATTTCCATCTGTCAATATAAGGAACCTGAATTCCCAAGAGTTCTAAATAACTTGCTAATGAGCGGAAGAGCCAGGAATCACACCCAGGTGTCCGCCTTCAACCCCAGCATTTGCTCCATGATCATAGAAACATGCTTACACTAAGGTTCCACCACCCAGGTGTTAGCATCACTTTCTGAGCTTGGGTGGACCACTTAATCTAACCAAGTCTCGTTTCCCTCTGTTACCCCATTGGTCCTTTTCTTCCACTTCCTTGGGCTATTAAACAATCACAAGCCATTGCATGTGTGCAGGATGCACTCTGCCCCCACTAAGATAGACTCGGGGTGATGAAGGCTCACGGTGCTGAGCTGCACTCTGCTGGGTGTGTCCCTGTTTCTGGGTGGTCAGGGAGGGCTGTGTGTACAACACCAGGAAACCTCTGTACCTCCTGAGACAGATGGGTTCCCCATGGAAGGCTGCAAGGTGCTGGTGACGTTTTCCAGCTGAGAATTTGGGAGTATGGCCTGTGTATGACTAGGAGGTGGTTTGGCTTCAGCAGCCAGCCCATCTCCTGAGCTGCAGTGACTGCTCAGGGTGGATGATGAAAATAGGAATATATTGAATTCAGAGGTTTGAGGGATCAGCCTGAGGTTGCACAGCTCATTAGTGGTATAGTGGGGTAGTCCTAAGAAGGAAATTATTTATCTCTTGTGGGCTAGTGTTTGTTCAAGAGCCACATCAAAACTGCTGTGTCTAAGGCAATTGTTGACAAGCAGGGCTGGCCCTAGGCCACGAAACAGCTGTAGTTAGCATTTTAGCTGGTGACTAGAGCTAGAGTTTGAGTGGAGCTGGGATATATTTAAAGTAGAGAACCAAGGGTGGGCTCCTTTGCTACCTGCAGAATAAAGTTTGGCCTCATCAATGTTTCACTGGAAGCTGCAGCCTAGCCTCAATTATTTTTCCATCTGTAATCACCACAACTGTCCCTTTGATTCTCTCCAGCTGTGCTGGTTGGGCCTCACTCTCTCTTGAAGATAACCTGAATTTTCCCACTTTTCTACCCTTTTCTGGAATATCTTCCCACCTCCACTCTACCTCTGTCTTCGCCACCCTTTTCCTAAAAGCATTCAGTGGAGATGCCACCCCTCAGGCTTCCTGCTCATCCCAGCCAGTGCCGCCGTCTCTCTCAAGGGACCACCTGGCAGGCTCTAACCTGGTTCTCTTCCGAGTACTTCTCCTATCTGACCTGCAGCTCTGGTTGGCTTTGAGTGTGGATGTGCCCGCCCTCTTGATGAGAACGCAAGCACACGCTCTGTAAAAGTAGGGAGCCCTGAGAACACGTGTGCAAAGTTTATTCTGAGTCCTGACCCATAGTGGACAGTCTAGAAGTATAAGACTCCCCTCATTTCTCCCCTCTGGAAACAGGGGATTATGTTTTTAGTACTTCTTTGAGCTTATCACAGTAGATAGCACCTAGTAGGCAGTTAATTCACATAAATCAATACAATAAAATTCAGACTTCAGCCTGGACGAGTTTTGGGAGCCTGAGCTGGTGGCCACGCCAACCCAGGGTATCTGTAAGGGCACCTGAATATCTAAGAGAAGAGAGAACAGAACTAGTGGGGAGCCTCTCCCCCCAGCACTAGCATTTAAGCCTGTTACTAAAGGAGTAATCTCACACAGTTCAAATTCCCTCGTGAATTTCAGGCAGGGCCAGAAATATGCACTTGCAGCAGCAGCAGCAGCAGCAGCAGCAGCAGCAAATAGGACCATTGCTGCACTCAGAGCATTTACAAGTACAATGGCATCCTGGAAAGAGCTCCGGGCTGAGGGTGGGAGACTGGAGCTTATCCTGCTGACCTTTTCCAGGTTCAGAGCTGTCACCTAGGAAATAAGGGTCTGTACTAGATGCCTGGTGCTGTCTCTCCCAGATCCAACATCCTGTGGTTCTGGGATATGGGGCATGGACTTTCGCTTATGACAGCTTTATAGTTGGTTTCAAAAAAATAATTTGTGATTATGCCCTAATATTTCCAAAAACCTCATTATAATCCCCCTTTAAGGATGTGGATGAGGTGACATTAGGCAGGATTTTAAATTATTTTTTATCAGCTTCAGGGGAGGAAGTTCTATGTATTTAGTGGTTGCCTCCTTGCAGGGAAAATTACATGTCCTTACCAACTAGGATTGGACCTAAGTTCTGCTTTAAGATGATAATAACACACCTTCTATAGTTTTCAAGAAAAAAATAGATTCAGACCATTTACCATTAAAGGGAGTTTAGCAACTGTGAAATCAATAAGACTGTGATGTGGTGGTTTTACATACAAGGAGGTCAAATTGCTTAAAACTCAAGAATTGTCTTAGTCTTCTTGGTTTGAAAGCCAAAATCAAACATTAATGAGTCACTCTTTCCTTTGGGAATGTTAAATCACTAAAAAGTGTACAAGTATTTTTTCTGCAGTCTCATCTACTTGTCCCTTATGCACCTAAGAGCCTGTAGTCCATGATAAAAATGGAATTT